GTCGACCAGTCAATACTCTCAAGAAATTTTCAACTGTCACCTCATACCCTCGATAATCGACCTGTCATAGAAAGTAAAAAAAGAGCAAAAATTCAAAGTATTATGATTTTCTAATGTTTTCAAACACTCGGATCAGACAAGCATTATGTGCACTTAAGTGAACATTGTGAGGTGCACTGTGTAGTGTTCTTAGACACTACGTACATGTTATGGTTCAGTAACAATATTTACAGAATGCAGAGGTTCACCTCAACATTGTCACCATAGAGATTTAGCTGGTGGTTCTCATTATTGAAAACTTGGGCAGGATAGCTGTTCCTAGGGTTACAGGCCATATCGTCCGCCAACATAAGTATGATTCGCTCATCAGGTATTCCTAATCTCTTAACAGTCCTGAAAGGAAACAAAAGGCAACAATATGGAATAAGTTGTAGACACTAAACAGAGAATAGATTAATAATTCCACATGAAACCAAATTAATGCGATACCTGTACAGGGACAATGTATTCGCCATATGTCGATAATTAAACCTGGGAACGTTAAAAATAATAATTAGTAAGAGTTATGCGCAAATAATGTAAAGCATTATCCACCTAGCTTAATGCTACTGTTAGATTAGACTGAGAACATGACATGCATCCGAAATGGAGATATCTCTAACACGATTAAGTCACCTACAACTGAACAGACATGCAAAACTGTATCTATCTAGATCAATACTGTGTTTAAGAACTTTTGACCTTGTTAGGTTGGTTAGTCACAACTGAACTCACATAGTTACTCAAAGCACTTGACTTTTGAAGCATGATTATTCTTAACCTGCGACAAAATGGCAGAACTGTTGTTGGATTATCCCTCATTGAGAACAACTGCCAAATCATTCTAGATTTTTGCAATAAATCTCAGGTATTGCAGCAAAATCAGTAAACCAATACTATGCGGCCCATTTGGGTCCACTGAATTTGAATGCTTTTCCAGCATCTTTGAGCAGCCGAGCAGGCATGCTCAATAGTGCTCCTCTAACGATGTCGTGGACTCGTGGTTGTCTAACGGTTACAAGGAATAGGTCAGATACTTCCAATGACAGGGGCAGCAGGCGAGTAAATAGTAGAATAAAATGGAATTGGACTTTCCACTTTTCGAACCATGAATCTTATCTTGGTCTGGTGGGCTTCACTGAATTGATTGGAATTGTTGTTTTAGTTCTAAACAGAGCCAAACAGACTGCCCAAACAATATGATTCTGAATCCACCAAATTCCAGATATCCAAACGAGCTCTTAGTTGGAAGTTTGAGAAGCCAATGCTCTCTCTCGCTGGAAGTTCTATGATCCATGCAAACAACTACTGCTACCGGTACAGGCAAATGCGAACTTCGATTCATTATCTATGGGAAAGAGTTCCAAAAACCACACACTAATTAATACACAGTATCATTTGTGTGATCCGACACCAATTAGATGTCACATGAGCACACGACAAGCTCTCTGACCAGCGCCGTGAATTCAATCAACTTCACTAAGGGCATGTTTGGATACAAGAGCTAATTGCTAGCTAGCTAGCTAAAAATTAACTAAAGTTGCTCTAGTGCATCAAAATAGGAGAGCTCATAGGTGGGCTAATTTTTTAGCCAAATGTTCAACTAGTAGTTAGCCAAGTAGCTAGACAACCATAGCTAATTTGAGGTGATTTTTAGCCCAGCTAGTAATTAGCCATGTGTATCAAACAGGCCCTAAGCCGCGCCCTATTTGGTATTCTACTAGTCCCTCACACGAAACCCACCGAAGTTATGCCTATCCAGTAGGATAGAACCGGATTGGATCCCCAGCCAGGCAGGGGCAGACGAGGAGGATGAAGAGGGCTCACCAGAAGCGGGAGGTGCACACGAGCACGGCCCAGTTGTTGTTGTGCATCGCGTCGGTGGACGACGCGGCGGCGGAGAAGAGGAAGGCGAGGAGTAGCGCCGTGACGATGGCGAGCGCGGGAGGGTGCCGCGAGGACCTGGGGCTCCGTCTGCCGAACGCCATGACGGCGCCGGCGAAGGGGGCGTGCGAGGCTGGGGAGTGGGGAAGCTGCTGGTCGGGGGAGATCAAGGAGGCGGAGCTCGCCGGGGCCGGCGACGAGAGGCGAAACTGGAACTGCGCGGCGGGCCGGCCGGGAGGTGGGAAGAAGGCCCAACCAAGTCCAAGAGGACCGGAAACGGTGGGCCTCGAGTAAGCAAGCACCGAAGCGGGCTGGTAGAAGGAGCGCGAGCGGCCCGTGTTGAGAAGGAAGCGTGGAGCGTCTCGTTGGCGGGCAGGAGGCGGCCTGGGCCAGCTCGTGCTTTGCTTTTGACATGGATCGGGCGTGTTTGCTTGGGATACTGCCAGTCCCAGACAACCAGCTGCTCAGGCAGCAATCGTTCGGACGCATGAGGTTGCAGCTCCTCTCCAAACAGCCCCTAGGTCATGGTGCACTGACATCGGGACTGATTTTCTGTGAGCAATTTTTCTATTAGAGGATGGAGACGGAGCAGATTTAAGGCTAGTTTGTCAGAGCTCTTGGTGCTTTAGATTCTCTATATGAAAACTCTCTATGAGATGTGATTCTCTAATTGAAATTGATTCCCTATGCCTAAAGTAAACTGTGTTCGTACAGTGATTATGTACGTGGAGTAAATTCGGAGAAACTAATTTTTTCAGCTCTCAGCCGTCTAGTTCATTTAATCATTTCAGACAATCACTTTACATAATTAGTAAAGAATTACTTCTTAGTAAAAATATTGTTTGGCAAAGCTCTAGATTCATCCGGAAAACCGTTCTAGGAGCTCCGCCAAACTGCACAGCCTCTACGAAGATTGAAATGAGAAAATAGTTCTCGTCGGTATCCGTGGGGGACGAGAGTGAGGAACCATCCTCCTTTTCACTCTTGGGACCATCGCTATGTAATCTGATGATGTTCAAATATTATTTTTATAAATAAAATATTTAATACTATTATTTTATAAGTATGCAGTGTACTAGGTGCACTGTACGCCTAAATAAAGGCCACCCATATCGTTTAGGCTCTGAACAGTGAATTAAACATTGCTCGATGTCCCCGCTCTAATGGGGTTGTAAGGGCGTGTTTGATGGGCTGGTCCGGCAGCCTGGCTGCGCTCTCGTGCTGCAAGTCGCCCTGTTCGATATCCTGGACTCACCATCGGGCCAGGCCTAGCTCATGCAAAACTCCTCTCTCCTGGCTCCCGGGAAACCACATCCCCCTCCGTTTTTTGGCGGCTTGGCTCGCTTGAGTGCTCGAGTGCGACGTAGAGTCACCTCCCGGCTCTCACCGCTCCCTTCTTCTCCGTCTACTGGGACACGGCGGAGGCCCGCTCCTTCGTCACCGACGCCGGCACCGCTTCGTGTCGAGCTCGCGCTAGGACACGGCGAGCTCGTGCTGCTGCCCCGCGGTGGCGAGGCGCCGTGCGACGTCCGGCGCCGCGCCCTGCGCCCTGCTCAGCCGCCGCGCGCGGCGGTGGAGGCGAGGAGGACCCGTGCGCGGCCGGTTGCGGCGAGGAGGACACGCCCTCGGAGCACCGCCACCCGTCCAGCGCGCACGTGGCCGGCCACACTCGAGCGGCCTTCGCCTCGACCATCACCGTAGTCATGTCTGTGATAGGTCCCTGGTGCTCTTCCTCCATTTGGTTGCCAACTCTGGGACCCCGGTTCGCCGGAACGCGCCACGCCGCCGCCGTCTCAGGCACCCGCGAGTGGCCGGCCTCGCCGCTCATGTCCAGGCCGGCACTGCCGCAGCCCGCGGGCCCCGCAGCGGTGCCGCCGCCTTGCACCGCCGCCGCTCACGTGCGCGCGCGCCGGCAGGCCACCGGCCGTCGGGTCAACCGCCTTGCGAGAGGGAGGTGCTGCCGGTGCTCAAGCTGGGCATGGTGTCGCCGGCCGATGCCAGCCATGCCACCCATGCCGGTGCTCAAGCTGGGCATGCATGGAGGATCTGCTGGAGCACAAGGAGGCCACCGAGCACGAGCTGCGCGAGGCCTTCTACGTGTTCGGCCGCGACGAGGACGTGTGCGGCGATGGCTGTGGTGGAGGAGCAGCTGGTCCGTGACGCCTGGCAAGTGCTCGAATGCCGACAAGAGAGTGAGGGGAGGTAACGTCACCATATTCCAGATGCAAGGTTACCGTATCCATTCGAGCCGGGCTTAAGCTGGCCACAGCCAGACCACTCGGCCGGGCCGGGAAGGACCACGATATCAAACACGCCTAACTGACGTCTCCAGCAGCTGCTCTACAACGACGACCTCAATTGTACATAGGGAGAAAATACACTAGGGCCCCCTGGCAAGGCACCTCCTCAAGTGCTCCGACGAAAGAGCCTAAGCACTGAGGGCCATCTTTGTAGCTTCAGCTCTTAACCTCAAGACAGCTCAGGCTCCTCTACAGTTCATTAAAAAAAGCTCCTCCTAAGAACAAAAGGCTCCTCCTTCTAAAAACAGCTTTGACTCCACTACTGCTTATAAAAAAAAACTCCACTACTGTTTATTAAAAAAATACTCCTTCTAAAGTGTTTAGTCCAGCTCCTTTGCAGAAGCTGCTACAGGAGCCAAAACCGGAGCCATGCCAAATAGCCACTAGGCCTCATCTATCCTAGAAAATCTAGATCGCCGTTCAAATCAGATCCTGGGGATTCAGTTCAAATTTGAGCTGGATCCTACAAGCTCCGAAGCACATTTTTTTTTCAAGCTGATCCAGAATTCCAGATTGAAAAATGAAAATGGTCCAGATGTTCGTTCGCTGGACCATACACAAAATTTGCAGCATGTGAAACATAGACTTGAATTATATATGATCTGCTTCCATACATGAAAGACGCAGCTAATGTGAAAAATAATGGAATAGCCTGACATACAGATGCAGCCATACAGGTACGGAGGACCTAATCTAGACATGACACTTCAGTTTGACGAAACTTTTAAAGAGCTCTACTACAAGTACAGTATTACTTGTGGATATGAGACAATCGGCTCATCGCCGTTTGTACAAGCACGGTTTCAACTGGGGCCAATCGATGCTCTTTGCCACCTTACTTTTTTCCTGCAGGGGCATGGTAAGCCACTGAATTCAGCATGAAGGCCAAGTGATCTAGGTAGTTAAGGTAGCAAAAACTGAAACTAACCTTTTTCCTGAAGCAGAAAAGAATGAACATTTTATTTTTCACATCCTGCAGAAATGATACCAATTGCCAATTAGAAAGTATTATCAGAATCATCTACTATCAAGCAAATGGAGTGTAATCTTCCATCAATAAAAAAATGCACCGTATATCAGAAATTATGAAGGTGTCAGAATGGAAGGGACTGAACAAACTTCTAGTCCATTACAGAGGTTCACATGTAAAACATGGCAATCGCAAATCAATGCAAATTTTTCACAAACCAGCATTGCATACCAGCTCCACAAATAGTAGTTAACAAACTGATTAGTTCCCAGGAGTATTGCAAGGATGCAACGAGCAAAGCTCTCAGAGTCATAATCTAATATTACTCAATACATTGGAGCCACATAGCGCCACCATATATTTAGGTAACCCAGCTATTTTCATTCTACAGGATATAATGTCCGTGAACCGTGATGATACAATATAGTTGTGCCTGTCATATGGTATTTACCCACACACACTATCTTGTGTTAGACACCACACAAACCATAACAAAAAATAAACCAGGAGACAACAATGAATGGAATGGATCATGCAAGCAAGATATATTAATTTTCAGCCAAAAACTGCAACTCTGCAAGTGAACCAAAATATCAAATTGAAGAAATTCACAGGCAAGCATTTGATGTGCTCTTTTATCAGGCCATGAATGATTCTTATATACGTTGCAGCAAGAGGCGGAGCGTGTTTGTCCTCTCAAGGAGGCTCTGGAGAATTATGTCAAATAAATTAACTCTTGTTTTTCCGCAAAAAAAATAATAATAATAACTCTTGTTTGATTTTCCTGATCAGCTACCCTTCATATATATAAGGTTGGCCCATTAGGCCATTAAAACATATTCAAGTTTTACAACCAATCTCAACTAAACCAAGGCTAACTAATCTCCTAACAATTAGCTAACTTAACTTCCAATCCAACTCTATCTCTAAGAGCAACTCGAAGAACCTCTTTATATCCTACCTAATTGATAGGAATAGAGATTTTGGTGGAAAATACCCTCCAACAGCTTCTTTAATTAGATCTCCAAATAAAGCTATCCTTTATTACGGATTTCTCGCTAGCTAAAGATGGAGAGCGGGGTTGGCTCTCTATAGTGCGTACAAGATATAGACAAGTTGGAGGGTGAAAAAATATAGAGAGCTACTTTATTCAAATGCCTGTCCAAATGATGATTTAGATAGTGAGTTTAAGAAAGACTCTTAGAGATGCTCTAAACATGCCTAATGCTTGCCGATGTGCTTCTTGCGTCGCCAATATTGTGGGCCCAGGAAGGCATACACAACAAGGCCATATGGTCGATCTTACATATACAATTCTGGAGACTGGAAAGTAGATTGATTGGGTCCATAGAGAACCAATGCTAGTTAGCACCACATGTTTCAGTACTTGCAGGCGCTTATTGTATATACAAGTACTTCATAATAATATATCAAATTAAGAAGTCAGGTGAAAAAACAAACCTTTGAAACAAGCGAAAAGCCAAGCTGGATAATGGCTTTAGAAAACTTTTCAGGATCAGCACCTCCATTGTTCGGGTCTAGCCTACTTCGCACTTCAGCAATAACAAGCCAACCACTGCATAAACAAATCTATAAGTAAAGAAAACAAGAAGTAGCCCCTTTGCAGTAAGAGTTGCAGCAGCTAAAGGTTAAGCAAACCTTGGCTTGAGAACCCTATTTGCTTCCTCTAAGTAACTTGGATAGTTGATTCCCATCAAAGAAAGACAAAATATTGCAACATCTATAGAAGATGGCTCCAATGGAGTCTGCAGAGATGCCAAAAAAAAAAGAAGGAAGAAGTTTAGTTCAATTAATTATTTGCACACTAGTCAAAGATTCAGTGAACATTTTATTCAGTCTGACTACTCCTAGGTTCATCCTGGAAAAAAGGCAGAATATATAATGGAAGAACAGGAGATCTCTTTGGACACTCTCTTCGAATCAATGTTTTTAGGTCGTCTGGTCGAACCTGGTCGCCATGGGATCGACCAGGAGACTAATCACGATTAGTCGTCGACCAGGCCGATTAGTCGACCCTGGTCGTCCATCTAGTCGTCCATGTATACCAGGGGACATATATACACAATAAAGCAAGCATCAAGACTGCATTAGTGTTTAGCTGGTGACACTAATGCAGTCTTGATCTTGACGTTGATTTGAAACACAATGAAACCTTTTGCAGAGCAAAATAACTAACATTTAGCGTACTATAGCAGCCACACAGCCGGCATATTACATAACCAAATTAGTTCAAGTACAGATAAGCTAAAGTGTTCAACACAAAGTCACAAACATTGACATTCAATAGTCCCACATGTCCGCCCAGTTAAACAGGCCCAAAAACAGAGTAACCAAACTGGTCGTCCCTGTCCTAGTCGTCGACTAATCGGACAACCAGCTTTCTAGTCGAGCTAATCGAACACCAGGGACCGACCAGGACGACTAATCGCGATTAATCGGACGACCTGAAAACATTGCTTCGAATAGAGAAGTCATGTGTCTTAAAATTAATTCAACACTAGGATGGTGACAAAATATTGGATGTTGTTACTAATCAATCTTTTTTTTTAGAGAGAAAAAGGGGAGGGTCTCATAAGAACCATAGGAACTCATTTGGTGAAGTGAAGGATCATCAACGAACAATGAACAATAAGTGATCTATCGTTCTAACTCGGTCATCAGACACTTCAATTTCCTATAAGTTAGTGAATGCGACACTGATGCAATTATGTCATATTAAAGAATACATAAAACAAAGTTTTTGCTTAATCGATGCACATCACCTCAAAGAAACTACATTATCTTCGCTATGTTACCTGCAACTCATCCATCAAAACTAAATATTCAATTAGGCTAGCTTTTACCAAAAAATAAAAAATCGAATATTAACATCAAGGAAATATAGTTCTAGAAATTCTTTATTCACGTAAAAACATAGTACCATGGTAGATAAACTGTTCAACTGCAACTCTGCAGGTTCGTAAAAAATGAGTAGCGCTGAAATGGTCTTGTACAAAAATATTGTCAAAATATGGACCATTCTTGCTCATGCAACAAACCCCCGCGATGTTGTTCTCAACCATTACCAAGAATCATGCAAAAACCACAAGGATGGCAAAGAACCACCAGGAAAACGTTTAGCAAACTAACATAAAGGACAGATAGCTAACAGAAGGACAGATAGCTAACAGAAGGACAGATAGCTAACAGTGCAAATCATAAGAAAGGTATTATGCAGTTTGCAGCCAGTGCTTACATGAGCCATATCACAAGCAATCACTGAAGGATCATCTGAAACAAGATCAATGGAGAAAACCTTGTTCTTCACATTTTTTGCAACTGCGGCATTGCCTGGGAAATATGAATAATTGAATAGTATTCTCATAATTGTGCCAGGGAAATAAAAAGATGTAACAAGGAGGAAACTTGCAAGAAGCACCAGCTACAGGACAGTAAGATTAATCTTACCACAGCCAAAATCAGCAACAGTCCATGATGCATTGTGACTCTTCAACCAATTGATTATTACATTCGCTGGCTGTTCAGGCCAGTGTGACATCTGCTCTTGATATCCTGTATGATACTAAGAGAGAAACGTGAATTCAAGCATGTAACCTCATGGTTAATTAGTTGCTTGAATGAATCCTTTTTTGCATAATAATCACAGCAATAAATTTTTGAGACAGATACTAGTATTAAAGCAAGAATAAAATAATAACGTACCACATCAAAAAGATTAGGGTCATTTTTGAAGTAGTCAAACGCATCCTCTCCACTGAGAAAGATAAAGAATATATATGTGAAGATGTGAATGAAACGTGATAAGTGAAGCTCTGCTGTCTATGGATTCCAAGGTCTAACAGACCTTTAGTAATTCAGTACAGTATGCTTTACTAATGATAAGGCGACCAGCATATAAAGTCATATGGGGAAATTGTTAGCATTAGCAAATCACAGAAAGTAGGAGGTAATGAGACACAATATCACTATCATGAATTATCATCATTTGTAGAGAATAGGAGATAACAGACAACCATGTATGCATTGTCTAATGATTGTCATATACAATCACAGAAAGTATAGCATTCAAGCCATTCATCAAGACATAAAAAAATCAATCAAAAACAAGTGTGATGCGAGAATGCAAACCTGCAAGTGTATAGCTTCTCGTTTAACATTCTGAAATGACCACCAGATAACCTTGCACGCATCTAAGATGTCAGCAAACAACAAACAGATTAACAGATTGGTTAGTTCACAGAAAACAATGAAAGTACCAAACAGGGATAAACTCTATAATGAAGCCATATAGATGTAAGTCAGGTTTAAGTGCTTAACAACTCCTGCCATCAAGAATTCACAGTGCTAAATTTATGAAGTAGAACCAAATGAACACCAACTGTTTTTTTTTTGTGCGAACTGGAGCAATGCACTAAGATACAGCAATGCACAGAACAAGGGGCTTTCCTTCATTTAGTTATGCTTTTTTTTTCTGCAGCTTGTCATAATCAGAGATGCAAAAGGACTACCAGCACAATATCACAGAACTGACCGTCATATACTATATAAAAACACTAATACACTAATCATCACATAAAGCACACTTGTTAACACTGGCGTTGCACATACATAGATTTTTGTTGTCCCCAATAAGCAGGAGAGGGATTCGATATAGTTTGCAACCCAAACCCTCTACTGCACCACTGAACAATCCCTCCAATCCGGCCATCCGGGTAAGATAGATTACCTTGTCCAGTAGGCTCGAGGTGTTGCCTCTCTTCGGCATGGCGGCGGCCTGGCTAGCGATGTCCTTGCGCCGCCGCTTGACCGGTGGGGACGCCGGCGTTGGGGGCGCAGCCGCTGGAGGAAGCCCCTTCTGCGAGGAAAGCTTTTTGCGATTCCGGACGCCCCCTCGCCGGCGCCGCTTGCGGCCGGCGGCGGCCGACTCTTGCGGTGGATCCATGGGAGCGAGAGAGGGCTGCGCGAGCCGCGGCCCGCGAGGATTGTCCAAATTCCGGGTCGTGCGGCCGACGTTGTGGCCCACTGTCAGCCTAAGCTAGCCTGACACGGGGCGATGAAGCTCACAGCAGGGACGCACGCCGCAGCCGCCGCCACGACTGCGCGCAGAGCCGCGGAGGAGATAGCACCGCGCCGCCGCCACGCTCCGGTCGAGTCTGTGTGTGGGAGTTGCCGAGTGGTGGGGGGCTGGGCCGCTGGGGGCGCGGGACACCGATGCCAACTAATTGGGCCACAGCGAGGACGCGAGGTTGGGCCAGGAGCCCAGGAGTGGGGGTGGCAGTGTCTGTGAGCCTGTGACTCATTTTGTTCGCTGGGAGTTCCGGTTAATGGCATAGCTTCGGCTCCGGCTGCGACAGCAGCTTTTACCAAAGAGTCGGATAAATCCTGCCAAACAGTTTACGAAGAAAAATCTTTTTTTTAGCTTGAATAGTAAAGGAGCAGGAGCCCTTTTTAATTAGGAGCTTGAGCACAAAAAAAAGTGACTATTCATCGAGTGCTCCACTCCTTCATAGGAGCACTTGAAGATGAGGATTAACCGTGCTTCGCTGTGTGCATATGTTGTATGCGCTTATGATGAGCCGATAGCTAAATAGATTGTCCCTTTTATTTAGCACCAGCAAAACTACCCGTGCGTTGACGGAAGTATTTTAAAAAATATTATAGTATTTATGGGCCCACACAAAAAAATAACATCAGAAAAACATCATCAAAATGCAATATAATACAAAACATCAAATTATTATGTCGTATGCTACAGAAAAATAAATTGTCATCCGATGAATTAAATAGTATTAGTACCGATCTGAGCAGGCTTACTCCGGCGTTAGTTTAGTTAGCTTGGTCCCATCTTGTCCAGTATTGCTATTAGTGTGCCAGTGAGCCCTTTACATCAAGGTCACACATGCAAACCAATTGCTTGACCAATTAAAGCAGGACCTACATCCATCATCTAGTTTCATGGCTGAACAGCCCAAAATGCCTTTTTAAATTAATCGATAGGCGTAAAAAAATCTAATCATAGGACCTGTGTCTGCAATGTATCATTGATTACTCATCGCCGACGACCCGAGTCCTCCCATATCAGTACATCGCAGTTTCCCCTGTATCCGTAAGCCATTTTTGCGTCTGTCAGCCATCGCTATCCACTCGCTCATCTATCAAAATTGCACTAGGTCCTCTGAGAAAAAATCTTCCACTGAGAGTCTTCAACTATTGTACATCTAAGAAAATATACACAGTAATTTATCCGTATTAAAATCAAATGCTAATAAAACATCTAAATCAAATCAATGACCACAGTTAGATGTGGGTCTTGTTTAGATTGCCTCAAAATTCTAAGTTTTTTCACTCTCTCTCCATCACATCAATTTTTGGACGCATGCATGGAGTATTAAATGTAGGTAAAAAAAATAACTAATTACACAGTTTGGTTGTAAATCACGAGACGAATTTTTTGAGCCTAGTTAGTCCATAATCGAACAAAGTTTGTCAAATACAAACAAAACGTGCTACGGCGTCCAGATTGCAAAAATTTGCAAGGGATGCCAGGCATCTCACCCCGCGCCCTCACCGGTTACACAGTACCCCTTTGGTTCTTTCTTTTCTTTCTCCCCTTCCTCCGCACGTTTCTCTCTCGTCCACGGGAAAAAGCACCGCCGCGCCGCCACCGGTAGCAGTGCCATGGCCATCATCGGCTCCTCCCCTCTCTGCAATGGCCACCGGAGCGGCGGCGCTCCTCACGGCCGCGGCATGCACCCGCAACCTCCGCCTGGGCCACGAGCTAGACACTAGCCTCCTCCGCGCACCGGGCGCACCACGGCCATGACGTGCTTCCGTGCCACGTGCTACAAGCGTTGCCGGCCGCAACACAAGCATCGAGCTCGGCGCATGGGAACCCGATGGCTGCACCGCAATGCTCCCCGTGGATTGTTCGTGGGACGGCGCAGATACTGCCTCCGCGCTCACCAGATGCAAGATCTTGTCTACTAGCGCATGCTATCTGTTCGACGAATTGCAGCACTGGAGATAGACGCGGGGTGGGCGGGGGATCACGTTGCTGCCTTTTCGTTTTCATGGAAATTGCCACGGCAGAATGCGTTCATTATTCTTTGGATGACGTACTAATGTGAACTGACGGAGTATACAACATTTATTTATATAGTTTCTTTTATTACCAGGCATTCATATGTGATACTGCAAATATGAAAGAGTTTATTTTTTTTATAAAATTGATCATTTTGTTGCAAATGATTTTAAAAATAATAAAATACAACATACAACGTCCAAGGGCAAAATTGGCCATTACAACCAAAACCTCCCATTCCTGTAAGCGGAGCAGAGCTAAATGTCAAACAGGTCCACCTGCTCCAGTAACTCCAAAGTGCAGCTGCTCTGCGGTGGAATTGGTGGAGCAGAGCTCGAAAAATTGGAACAGAGCAATCCTAAACAGACCCTAATTTTATTCGAATTCATTTACAATACCCGTAGCAACGCGAGTATGCATCTTTTTAGATCAAAGTATGCCAGGAGCTAGAAGCGGCGACTATGTATTTTTTTTCTTCCTTTGATAGCCAAATAATGTTAGAATTGAGTTTTAAGTTGAACATGTTTTATGATACTGAGTGGTCTGATTCCCCACGCGACGCCGCTCCCCACCTCCACCACCACTGGTCCCCTCCCTCCTCCTCCGGCATATCGCCGGAGGCCAGAGGGAGTAGGGATCCATCGTTTTTAATAAATTTTTTCAGTAGATCGAGTCCTTAGGGTTAGAGTCTCTCCATCTTGGTTTTGGGGATTTATCTTCTCCTCTTCCTCCTCTCCGGCGACGACGAGATGGTAGGGTGGAACCGTTTTCTCCATGTCGGCTCTGTTGAAGATGGGGACGACAACTACGGCGTCAGCATCCTTGCCGAAAAACGAGAAGGAAAGACACAAGAAAGAAGAAGTTTCTTAACTCCGCCTATATAAATATTGACCGTCGTTCGTTGGGCATCCGTTCTCAGTCCTTTTGCCGAGTGTTTGCCTGTGCGGTCATCCATACTGCAAAGCGTCGTACAAGTTTGGTTTTGAGATCTGGAGGTATTCACAGTGTGGGTATAATTTAGATGAAAATCAGTTTCTGGATATTTGTGTAATCCAGAGTGCTCGTAGCGTGTTGATGTACCCAGGTATTATATCTAATATAATTCTTCTTTCGGTCGAAAAAAGTGGTCCGATTCCCTTAGTGCTAAGGGATGAAGCTGGGTTCAATCCTTCTATTAAAAAAATCATTCTTATTATATGGTCAAACAAAGCTTTCACCGTGGGGGAAATTTAGAAAAAAAAGGATTTGCAGTGGAAATTATGGAATTCGTACGGAGTAGCGTCGTTAATGGCTAATGTCTTTGTTTTACCCAAATCGCACGCGACTACCCAGGCAAACCACAGAAATGCAGTGATTAATAGTCTCTACTATAATGGATCAATCAAAATTGTACTAGGTCTTCCCAGAAAAAAGTCCTCCGCTGAGAACCTCCAACCATTGTGCACCCAGAAAAATGCACACAGTAATTTATCTGCATTAAAATTAAGGGCTAATAAAACACATAAACAAAATCCGATGACCACGGTTAGATGTGGGATGCCAGGCTTCTCACCCTCGCGCCCTCCTCGCATGCCGCACGCCGCGACCCGCCGCAACTGCGATTTAACGCTCGAAGCCAATCATCACCGAATAAAAAAACGCGTTCAAAACCTTCCGGGCCGCCGCCGTGCCGTTCGACGTTGAAACATTCCAATCGCCCGTGCCCACGCCCACACCCTTCATGGAGAGGAGGAAGCCGCGGTGCCCGTACGCGCCCACGCCCTTTGCGGAGGGGAGAAGGAAGCCGCAGTGGCCGTATGTCGTGGCGCGGCGCCGCCGATCGCCCGCGCCCACACCCTTCGCGGAGGGGTGGAGGAAGCCGCGGTGCCTGGTGAGCTGGGTCTGAACGACGGTGAGATCCATGTGACCGTCGGTGACATTGCCCACGTACTTAATTATAAATGCAAATCTCTCAGATATGCCATGAATCTTAGTCACTGCAATTTGCAATAGCATCTTGCTACTCAGAGCGCCGACCTCGCATCATCGCACAACGTGCAACCTTCATCTGCCTGAACGACGGCATGCTTTCATTGCTATATTGCCCAGTTTGCCGGACGTGGTGAGGAAACCCTGCTGCCTGTCGCTACTGCCGGCTGGCCAGCCATAACCCCGGCGCCGCGACGAACGCGCAGCTGGCCACTAAACTCGGGCAGCCCGGCTGCATCTACGGACTAGCCGGCAGAAGATCTGGCCGGCCACATCTCATTGTCATCGCAGGTACTTCACAATGTCTACTATCAGTATCATAGGGACTCTGAAGTCCGATCATGAACGATTTCTAATGTGACAAATACTCTGCATTTGTTCTAAAAACTCTGGGAGTGAAAAGTTGTAAAAAATTAGCAGCGAACCAAAGGAGCTTGATGGCTTGACCCTGGCCGCAGTTAACACACTATGTTACTACTAAAAAACTAGAAAACATGTGCTCTGTCTGGTTTCAGTTTCAGTTGTAGTCATGTGCTAAATCTGATAATATGCAAAAAAAATGCATTGAGTTCAAATAAAGTATCTTCGTAAATATGGAGCCTTTTTCTTTCTCAAGTTTTTTCATATGAGAAGTCACTTCTTTTTTCCACCATCTAATGGATTAGATGTCAACAATATTTTTTTTCATTCTAGATCAATATGTACCAGTGCCAGTGTGCAACACTACAACTTGACTGATATAAAAAATACTAAATAATATTCATGTGTTGCAAATGTTAGAATTCTTTTTATTTGTGAACTGAGGTACTATAGAATTCTATATACAACTCAATTTACCGAAACCAAAAGTTCAGTATTTAGATGGGACAAGAGTAACTATCCCATGATCAATAATCCTGGTTTGTTATAATTGTTCTGAATTTCATTGCATGACTATGATGAATGCTTGAGCTACATATCAGTACTCACTTTTGGGGTCTGTCTATATGAAAGAAAAATAAATAGAAGGAAAGAGAAAAAAGATATACCTCCCTTGCATGTTTTTAAAGATGCTACTATGTGGTCCTCTTGACTTTCATGCTTTGAAGTTCCAGTCATGTGCTCTGTCTGGTACTCTGGTTATAGATTCAGTTACTAGCACAGCTTATAGCTAACACAAATAACATATGTTTTTAGCTTAATTTTGATGTCAAGGTATGCCAATTTACGAGTCTGTTAAATTTGTATGACACATAATGCCAAATTAATTCTGTGCCAAACCAAATATTCATTTAAATCTGTACCCAGTTATCTTATCTTGGAGGAAACCGTGTTGCCCGTCGCTACTGCCGGCTGAAGATCCTCGCTGGTACTTCGCAATGTCTACGCCCAGGGATACACGCGATGCGCTAAGCGATATCACCAACATCGCAGGTATGCTTTCAGTATAAACAGCACTTTCATCTGAATTATGACATCTGAACTTTTGGATGTTTACACAGACACCTTTCATTTAGCGGGTTGAACAGAGATGTATCATTTTACTTTGCCAAACTCAAAGCACTCGAGTATCTGTAACTACATGTTTTCAGTCACGTTAATTCTGCAGTGAATTTTAGTCGGTGAAGATAAATTTGTGTTTCTGAATTCTGATATATTTTCAGGGATTTATCACACAATAAGTTGGAGGTCTCAATTCCAGATGTCTTTTCACAGCTGCCATCTCTCGTGGTTATGTAAGTTTTCTGATCCCCGATGACTTTCATGTCTTAGAGTTTAGCTATAAACAATTGCTAATACTAATCTAATCATTATACGCTACTGAAAATCGATTTTTAGACTGGTCCATAATTTTTAGGACTACACTACTTGATTTATGGTGGAGGCGGGCGCCTGCTGGATGCCCGGTCTACAACACCAAGATCGCCGCTGCCATTGCTTGCACTTTGCGAGTTTTACTTATGGGTACGATTTATGAATGACAGGCGTCAGGAGCTGTTACGACGAGGAAATTAATAATTTAGCTTATTATCTGCCATGTAAAGCTATCAACTTCACTGATGATAGAATTCTTAATGGATATTTTGAAGAGCCGTGCAAACCAATGTTTTGACAGCTTTCCTAAAGATCTCTAAGTCATGATTAAGGACTTAGGCAGAATGTAACTTAGATAATTAATATGAGTATGCAAAAGTGTTTCTCGGATTGTAGACATGCTCAAATACAATTGTGTAAAAGTTAAACTATGAAAAAAAATCATTGATTGTTTTCATATGGATCTCCAAGATAAAACCGTGACGTTAGCACGGACATTATACTTGTAAAAAAAAAATGAGCAAGCAGAGGTCAATTTGGCTAGCATGCAGGCCCACGAAGGAGCGTTCGGATAGAGGTACGCCTTGCATGTAGCATTTCCGTTTTGAAAATGAGAAACAGATAGATTTCAAGAGAAGTTTCGCCCTCTAGTCCAGACTGAAGCAAACATGTGCGGAGTTTTTTAAATAGTATAAAGAAGTTTCAAATAACTTCAAGTTTGATTTATAGGAGATTTGGTCTCCTTCAATCTCACTCCAATCACCATCAAACCAAACAAGCCCTAAAGTAGCTACCAGATGAGCTCGTGGCAAGGTATGAGTGAGCAAACAGGCACAGGCGGGCTCTTAAATCTGTTTGTTGAACATCACGTCTATAGGGTGAGCCGATTGATCGTGCTGGTTGGACAGGAGAAAAAAAACGGAATTGTCGGGCTTCGCCAAACTCAGAATTCAGAAATCTGCTGAAGAGTAACGATTTTGATCTCACAGTTATCTCTGTACATACATGACAATAATAGATACATTACAAATTACAAATCCAAAACCGACATGATTCTAGGTCCACCCAGAAGTATATGGCATACTTAGAAGGGCGGCCTGGTGCAAACGGTAGTCTTACCGCCTGTGACCGGAAGGTCCCGGGTTCGAGTCGCGGTCTCGCATGGCATAGGGTAAGGTTTGTCACTGACACCCTTCCCCAGACCCCACACAGAGCGGGAGCTCTGGTACGCCCTTATATATGGCATACCTGGTTGTTTGACTACAGAGTTTTCGCCCCTGCTATTTGAACAGCATTATCAGTCAGATCCCTTCAATTTTCTAGGCCGCTTGGACTGGGGTGGTGATGGAGGCGCATCTACAAATCTTCCCATGGACTGGCAAAAATGATTTGAGATGAAATGAAACCATAACATAGTTAAAAGCAGATGAAAAGATGAATTGAACTCATATAGGTCCATAGTAGTAGGAAATACTAGGCATCCATTAAATCGTCTGTAATCTAACAGACATTGTAGAAACAGCATGGATGCTTCAATTCAAAGACGTGCATGTACCATAAAAGAAACCGAGCAGAGTTTACAAGCAGAGTTAAAGGGAAAAAACAACAAACCTTCCGCTTGTGGTCCCGTTTGCCTGCTCTTTCACCTGAAGTCACATGAAGCACGATGATGCAAAATATTAATAGGCAACCCCTCATATTGAAGACGAAAGGCGTTAAAAACTGAAGTGTCCGCTTTTAAATACCTGTAAACCCAATTGTATCAGGGATGAAGGGCCGATCAATGTCCCTATTAGAACGCTGCAAATAAATACACAATAATGTTGTTAAATAGAAAGCAACTAATTGTTGGAACCTAATAAAGCACTAGCCAGCAAGCATAACTTTTACCGCAAAAGGGGGAACATAATTCACTCTGTCTCGGCAATAATTTTCCACTAGACCTTTTTAGATGGTTCCACTAAACATTTCAGTTAACAGGATATTTGGATCTTGAAGTGCTGTGAATTAACATATATTGTCATTGTTTTGCACGACCCTGTTAATACCCCACTAAGCTCTTCATATATCTTCTATCAAGGAACTACTTGTGACAGCCATATCTCTGCAACAGATAATAAGAGGAAGCCTACTCCCCAAGGTTTATGACTTCACATTATCCTACAACAGGTCCACAATGATAAAAAGAGAAAAAGGCAGGTAATTCATATATTATATTATATACCTTAGGTGTGCTTGGTGCCTCTGTGAAGGAACTTTCCCGGTTAGCTGAAACTTCAGCCTCTTTAGTTTGCAGCTATTAACATAAAAAACAAAAGGGAACTGTTAGCTGAAGGGAAAGAACAAATATTTGAAGATATGCTTAGTTTCCCCTTTTTTTCCTTCCCATCTTATTCAACAGGTGCTTCGGAAAAAAGATCAAAATTGGGAATCAAAACTTCTGCAACCTAATGCAAATTTATAAGGTTAAAAGTATATGCAAGTTGCAAAAAGCTAAAGAACATGGATGCTCAGCCTTAAAAAGTGTACCTGCTTTTGTAGGTTAAGCAATGTGAGTAGCTCATTCCGAAGTTCAATATGTTCTACACAAACTGCTTTCGTTGGAACCTTAGGCTTCAAATTCACCTAAAAAATATGGTTGCTGAAATATATTTATGCTATTTCACAAATTAATTTTGTGTGCATCAAGTACAGAACAAACCCCTAGCTCTTGCAGTGTCTGATCAACCCTTTTGATAACTCTAAGGCCAGCTGAAGCACCTACTGCTTGGACCATTTGGTCAAGCGCATGGGTTCTCAAATACACTCGAAGCTGAAAGAGAAAGTATACAGGTCATATGCATATATAAGAAAAATGCAGATAGATGAACAATGTTTACACTGCAGTTAACCAGATAAGGTGAGATGTGGTCACCAGTCACCAGTGGCATATTAATAGTAGGTCTATTTGTTCTGTGTTTACCACTAAGAGGCAGCTATATTTCATAGAATCGGCGAAACACGCTATTACAATCATCTTTCAAAAATAAATAGGATCTATTTGTATTTAATGATTTATACATTTGAAAGGAGAGACGGGTCTACTTAAGCCCATAAAAATGAAAGTAGAAAGATGAACTGCACTACTCAATGCATCACTATTAGAACAAGAATACAGTTCAGACATGCAAATGGATTCATTTTTGCACCTGATTATGAACCTGATGCGCCATATATCTACAGATAGTGGCAAAAAGGGATTTGCAAATGTGGCACCTATTTTGTGCCTTCCAACACAACATTTTTCTTGAACACAACATCAGTAGTTCAGTACTTCTAATGGAAAGCTTGAATAAATTCCACTATGAGGTATGCATTTTCAAAAGTGCCACTCGCTGTGAGGTTGATATATGATTCCCGACACCACATGGCAATATGGCATTTATCCAAGTTTCACTTAGTGGGACAATGTATTCATGTAACCTCAATGTCCTGACAAAACCTTTATAATAAAAATTAAGGTGATATCAGATCTAGTGCAGGAATCAACACTGAAATAATATATATAATTGGATCTGAATGTATGTGATTTATTCTCATTTAGATGTCACTGAGCAGTGGTGAGTGCTGACACAGATGCATAGTAAAATTTGAGAGTGATAAGCTGAATTACGGCTGATCTTGTTGCATAATAAAATTATCACTGTAGCTTCTTCAGGGTAAAAAGAACATCTGTCAACGTAACTTAAAATGTAAATTAATCAACCATAAGACTTAACCAGAAATAGTTTCAGGATTACCGTTCGTAGTGAATTAGGTATCAAGGTGTTAGCTGTTGTATTTGGATGTGCTAAAGATGGATGAGTGCTGCTTGAAGGAGATACACCATCAACAGGAACCATAGCATTATCAGAGCTCGGAGGCATTACAGCTTCATCAACATTCTACAAAGTATCAAACAATTAGACATTTAACAATCCATAGCATTAGCATCAAGCAGTGTCCATTTACTCTTGAAAGTACCAATTGAAATAGAAAAGGGAATTGATGAACAACATTGGCAAGCACCTGAAATGTCCAAAACTACAAATTAAAAGTGCTATTTAATTTCAAAAAAATAATAAACATCTAGATTTGGATACTTAGGACTCAAGACATTGGCCTTTTGCAGATTTGCCATTGGACCCACATTCATAGACACAGATGGACACATTTGTCATCCACCTGAGTGGCAACATAATCAAGGAGTCAATCTTTTGAGCCCCAAATATCCAATTTTCTCATGTTTTACCATCAGTTGCTTCACAAAAGAAATTCATCCCACAAATACCATACAAATTATAATTATCATTAAAAACTTATTGCATTAGATTATTTGTGCTATAGGACATGTAATAACATGGATTGGTTACTCACTTTGCTAGCAGCACGAGATTCCATAATACGTTTTGCTTCTGCTAAAGTCTGAAAATGCAACACTTGGTAGTCAGGTACACACAACAACAGAATCTAGCAAATAGCAAAACTGCAAAAATCAGCAAATTTCTCACCTCGGCATCCTTTCGTTCTTGCTGCTTTGTTTGGGAGAGAAGTGCTGATAATGCACGCTTCCTCTCAGTCTCATGAGCAGCATCGTAGGCATCCTGAGAACAAACAGTGGACATATGTAAGTACAGGACAAAATTTATCATGACTTTGAAGTAATTACTTTTAATTAGGGAAGAGAATTAAGCACTACCTTCACAAGGGGATTCCCAGAAACATCTTCGAATGACCTAGCTCTATGAATTAGAAGAGTCCGAGAAGCTGCAAAAATAAAAAAGACGATGACTATAGAGGTAAGGTATACCATATAGATTGAGATGGTGGAAATACACACAAATTGTGCATACATGATTATCAATAATAATTGATTGAATAGGTGAATAGCAAGTCATGATGCCACCTAACTTCTGGTAACATAACATAGTACAAAGAAAGGTGTGTACAAATAAAGTACATTGTATAGCAGACCAAATGCAATGGCAATTTTCAAGACTTTCTTCATCAATTTAAAAGAAGTAAAAAAGAAGTTGCAAGAGAGCAGTTTAGATTTTAGAACATCTATGATACAAGAGCGCATGCAAATATCTTACTCGTTGTGATAGAAAGGTTACTGTCCACTGATGAATAATTACTTGTACATTGAATATAAACAGAACAACCAAAAATACATCACCAATGTTTGCTCCTGAGCAAAAAAAATGCATATTTAATTGCTCTCAATATAAAAGCAGGGCCAATAGCCTTTAGTCTAATGCATATATAAACAAAGATTAAAAATGCAAGAAAATTCACAAAGCATGTTCTATTTGACATTCTGACCCCAAAGATATCATGATTGAATTACCAGAATAGTAACGACTCTTCAGATCTTCCACACTGCGAGCAGTTGGAAACCTATCTGCTATTACTATGAAGCGAAGGTCAAATCTTTCACATAACTCAAATAGCTGATCTGTTTCTTCCTTGCTCCAATCCTGAAATAGGTACACCACATATTTCTTTTAGAACTTCGGAAAGAATGTGGGGAAAAAATCCTAAAAATTTAAACCCCCAAAAATCAATAAGTTCATGAATATCCAAAATGACTGCAGACCAAAATTAGACATATGTTCATTGGTTCTATTCTAGAAATGCTTCTGTTAAAGTAGACAAATTACTGAACAATATTGTATACATACAGTAAGGTAAATTTTTTTTGACATATGTCTATTTGTTCTATTCTAGAAATGCTTCTGTTAAAGTAGACAAATTACTGAACATAGTGTATACATACAGTAAGGTAAAAACATGACTGAAGATTTCAAAATTTCTAACATAAGTTTATTTATTAAACCAATAAACCTTCAGCAAAAAGGTCATACCACTGCAAAAAGAAATTCTGTTTTTAAGTTTGGGTATAAATAATAGGTATATTTATTGTCTGACAACACATATTCCAATAGCAGAATATGAAAGCTTTCGTTTATGAATTTAAATACTCCAAAGAACTTTCACATGGATGGGTACTACCCCTACAAGATCTGCAGCAGTAGGGTCACCGCCTATATGTTACTACCTCCGTTCCCTTTTATAAGGCGCACACGCATATCAAGATTCAAACTTTAAAAACTTTGACCAATAATTTGACAAATAATTTTTAACTATTATAATACAAACTTGGAGGGGTTAGATTTGTAAGCAATTGTACTATCCAATAATCACAAGTTTATAAGCATACATATTATAATATAAAGTAAATGAATGGTCAAAGTGTAATTTAGGAGACCGAGTCATTCCAACTAGCGCCTTATAAAATGGAACAGGAGTAACAAGCATGCCATGCTAACAAAGACAAATGCAATATCAAACGGATGTTTAGAAGTTAGAATATCTTGTTAAGATGGGAAAGGGAGCTAAACTATAATTCAGTTTCTAATATACTATAACTAGAAAACCATATGAAAATGAACATTTGTGACATGCCAGATTCGCTCTTTCCAGGATATGAAGTGTAGGTAGCACAAAAACGTAAGCTCAGAAACAAATCAGACACTAAGTTTCCAAAAAATTATTGTAAGTACTAAGTAGTACCTACAGGGTCAACTAAATACTTCTCGTACTCCTCATCCGTATATTTGACAACATCCGCCTTCTGCAAAATCAGAAGGATAAATAAAGATAGGGACACAGGGTTTTGCAAGGAAAGGCTTCTTGCTCAATTATGTACCTAACATAATATAGTTCTTACCTTGTTATATTTTGCAAACTGATAATCACCAGTTGGCTGAACACCATTAACAACTCTAACCTGAAAAATCGAATTGGTGAGAACTAGTTATTGTGTGACTGTGTGAGTAAATCATACTATTTTTCAACATACAGCACATTAGTAGAGCAAGATACAGACCCAGTGATAGAGTTGAAGGTTATCAGTTCGTGCAGACGACGTGAAAGGTAACCACTGCCATGCTACCTGCATAAGATATTAAAATGGTTTTGTCAAATCGACTAAAGTGGCCCCTGGCTCCAATACCACCAAACAGCCAGATAACTAGATAAGTGTAGTCATCTTCTGCATTCTATGAGAAGTTCACATCAATGCTGAATTGCTTTGCTATGGGTAACAAATGTAACATTTCACAAATATGCCACAAATCCAATGCACAAATCTTCACCGGACAGAGTGAATGAACGGTGAATACAAAGTTAGTAGTTCTATATAAGCTTGACTCTAACTGCACTTCTGCTGATTATGAACTAGGATATTTATTTGTAGTCTAAGGGGTTTCATATATATAAAAACATGTTACAGGTTAACAAGTTCATGTGGACCCAACGCACATGAGAAACTTAATCTGGTAACATAAAGCTATTTTTATTGGCAATCCAAACAGTATGTGTATATGAAGTGGTCAGCATTTTAGTTTTCCAGGTTCAAATTACATAAGCAATGTACTTCACCAAATTTCCAAGTGTGTGGTTTATGAGTAGCTTTCTCAGCGCAGCTCAGAAGCTATCCAATTTCCAATAGGTGTGAGAAGAATTGTACTCCCTCACCTTCTCTTTCTCCGCAGCAGGCCGTCGCTTCAGGTGCGATGCCTCGATGGTCGGCATGAGCGGGGCCATTCCCACCCCTCCAGTGAGGGCATAGACCTACATCTCCATGATTTTATCAGCATCGCAGGCCTGCAGCAGCGACTAGGCGCCGGGTTAAGAAATACCTCGCGCGAGACGCCATCAGGCTTGCGCTGCGGCTCCTTGGGCGGCCGCGACTTCTTCTCCTGGGAGGACGAGAAGGGGGTCTTCGGAAGCCCTAGTATGTCCTTCGCGTCCATGTATACGGCCTCACGAGGAAGGCGCGGTGGAGGAAGCTAGGGTTAGGGTTTGATTCCGTCCTACTGCGACATGGGAAGAGGCGCGCTCAGAGAAGAATATGTAGGGATACGAGGCAACCAACGAGAGGTACAGACACGGGGCGATGAAGCTCACAGCAGGGACGCACGCCGCCGCCGCCCCGCTGCAGCTGCCGCCACGACCGCGCGCAGAGCCGCGGAGGAGAAGCACCGCGCCGCCGCCACGCTCCGATCGAGTCTGTGTCAGCGGGAGTCGCCGAGTGGTGGGGGGCTGGGCCGCTGGGGGCGCCGGACACCGATGCCAACTAATTGGGCCACGGCGAAGACGCAACGTTGAGCCAGGAGCCCAGGAGCGGGGTGGCTGTGACTCATTTTGTTTGCTGGGAGTTTTCAGTTAAGGGCCCGTTTGGAATAGAGCATTCTCACACGAACAAGGAAGTAGCTGCGGCATTGCAAAGGAAAGAGTCGGTCTCCTTCCTAAAAACACCGGAAAGAAAACATCCAACTCCAACGGATGGAGTGATTTAGGAGGAACCATGCTGAGATGGTGATGAGAATTGATTCCTGCTGATCCTCACCGTATAACAGGGACTTGACATTTTAAGTGTTTGGTTAGTTATGAGTGATTCTCTTCAGACAAGCTAAAGTTAAAGCTCTTCCAAACGAGCCATAATAACGTTATTGACCAAAGCCCTAAAACACGTCATTAGTACATTAAGGAGGGTCCGAGCGTCCATCTACTGCACTTATGACCACCTAGGACGTCGCAAAGGCGTGTTGTATTAAACTTGCGTGATATGAGAGGAAAAAGGAGTCTTTTTTGGGAGGAAGGGCACCGCCATGGTGTGGGAAGCCTGATTGGTTGAAGGGAGAGGAGGAGTGGTGGGACTAGCAGAGAGAGAGGTGTCGGTGGGGTGTGTGAAGGAGAATCGGGTGGGGGCCCACCCTTCTTAGTTGTTGCTTCTCGATCTATTGTGCTATTGCTTGACCTTTCTTGGATTTGTGAGATCACGAGAAGCAAGGATTGAATGGTACCAATCCAAATAACCCTTCAGAGAGGACAGAAAGAAAACATCCAACTCCAACGGATGGAGTGATTTAGGAGGAACCATGGTGAGAAGCCAATGAGAATTGATTCGGTGAACTACAAGTGAGCGGTGTGACCTATAGATGGATTAGGTTCATGAGTCCGTCCGTGGAGAAATAAAATACTACCTACGTCTATATATTCGTAAGTGGACTGGTTTCGTTTGGGAGAGCTTTGCTCTTTGATTCTCTGACAGTGTAGTTCTATTAGATTCTTTAAAGGGAGCAGGGTAGGAAGTTGATGAGAAATGATTCTCTACTAATCTCCACAAGAATATAGCAGGGAGCAAGGTGAAGCGGATTTTTTTAAGCTCGCACCTCCTAGTGTAAATAGAAAAATGACTCTCTCCTAATTTCCACCTGAATCGGTTGGCATTTTGAGTGTTTTGCTCGTCGGAAGTGATTCTCTTCAGAGAAGCTGGAGCCGAATCTCGTCCAAACAGCTCATAAATATGATAGAATATGTATCAGACGCACTCTTGTTTCAGTTTGTGCCCCCCCCCCCCACCCCCCACCCCCACCCCCATCATATTCGTCCATTGTCTATCTCCCCATTTCAGTACAAATTAACTAGTGGCTAATGATATCTTAGTTTGGCCTGAGCGCGATAGCATCGCCAATTTGCCACCGACGGGTCCCCGGCGCCACTTACCACGTTCTAGACGCCGTGGGACGGCGGGAGCGAAGCGACTTGTCAAGCCACGACCCACAAATTCTTCTTGGTGTTTTTGACCCTGCACCGGCCAGTTTGCTGACCGGAGCAAACACTTGGAGCAAAGTGAGCTCCACTGGATTTTGTGTTGCTTGGAGGTAGTTACAACGGCCACTTGCAAAAGCACACGCACGTGTTAACCATCGGTGTCTCCGATGACGCCTCCTGTGTCATCCATCGGAGCCATGAAACAAAGCAAAAAGAGATCAGTTGTGCTTAGCTTATTAAGGCCATCTTCAGGGCCGGTTTTATATTACTCTTTCCAGTAACGTTTTGTCAGTTACAGTATATATCATGATATTTTGATAATAAATATAAAAATCTATACCTACTAATAAAGCGGCAAAATTTTCGGACATCTTTTTTCGTTCATCCATTTTTTTTGTCCACCTCCTCTAATTACCGGTAGTCAAGAGTTTCTTTCGTCTAGACTTATTATGACAAATAGATCTCTCCGAGCTTAAATAGGAATAGGAATCTTAATTCAAATAGAAAATAAATTAAACAAAATCTTATTTTACTTTTTATATAACAAAGCCATATTGAACCGGGCTTTTTACTTTCCATAACATAATACGTCCACCATATTGATGCCCGCAAATTCCAAAACACTTGATTTGCTCTATCAAAATTGAAAAGTTATTTTCCACCGGAGTCAAAGTCCATCTCTTGTCGGAGTCAAACTCTACCTCCTCGCTGCATGTATTGTATCCCGATCCCTCGATCCCGATCGCAAACATCCATAACAGTAAGCCTCCTGCCGTCCTGTGACTTGTCCCTAGCCAAACATCCATAAAAATATGAGTAGGCGTCCTTGATTGTCTCATTGGCTGTTCCTGCCGCGCCGAATCGGCGGCTGTTTTTTTTTTTTTTTTTTTTAGATCTAGATCTAATCACGTTTTTGTTCGCGGTACCTGTGGCCGGCTGCAATCTTTCATCACGTCGCTCATCTTCTCTTCGTTGTCCAGCGTGCCTTTGCCAGAACGTCCGCCGCTTTCGGCCTCATCGGCCTGATGTTGCCGCCTCTCGGTCTCATCGGGAGGCGTTCAGTAAATGTGGAAGTTCACTTCGGGAGTCCCCGTCGGCCCGTCCCTCCATGGCAGCAAAGTATGAGTTTCCCGGTAAAAAAAAAAATGTGCCTTTGATCAGCGGGTTTCCAGGCCTCGTATAGTTCATCTCTAAAAGTGTACACAGTACACCCTATCTCATCGAATATTTGGTATATGTATAAAGTATTAAATATAGACTAAAAAATAACTAATTACACAGATTGTGACTACTTTGCAAGACAAATCTTTTAAACCTAATTAGCCATAAATTGACAATAAAGTGTTACAGTAACACATATGCTAATGACGGATTAATTAGACTTAATAAATTCGTCTCACGATTTACTTACGGATTCTATAATTTATTTTTTTTTATTAGCATCCAAACACCCCATATGACATCCCCATATGACACCCCAAAACTTGACACCTGAAACTAAACAAGGCCTTAGAGACCCAAGATGCAAAAATAAGTGGGAAGTGGACGACACAAGAAAAAAAAATTGTGGAAAGTAATTAAGCACTACCAGATTAGATACACCTGCGAAGAAGAACTGTTGAACAGGCGTCTAAACAAGCGAAGCTTCGGATCAAAACAAAGGAGGATCGGAACATACATTTGATGAGGAGGGATACACCTTGAACGACAGCATCTCGATGGTGCAGTCGGTGCTCGTCGGAGCGACGCGGAGGTCGAGCATTGGCGCGATCTTGAAGCCAAGGAGGCCGATGCGGCGCAGCATGCACGTGGACGTGCCGGGCCCGGACCCCGCTGGGACGTCGGCCTGTAGAAGCGCGCCGGCGCGCGAGACGTCCTTCAGGCAGTCGACCAGCACCTTGTCGTCCACCACCGTCTTCTTAGCCATCCGCGCCAGTGCGCGGGCAATTCTCTCGCGACTCGCCCAGCTGCGCTCCCAGCATCTCGATCGGGAATCGGCGGGTCGAGTGACGGACGGGTCGTCGCCGATCGATCCTCCGCCTTCGAACTCACGTACTTCCTCGAACTCAACGGCTGGTCGGTTTTGGTTTGGCCTTGTTGGTGCTGGTTTATTATGAGAAAAAATATTGTTGATTAGCTGATTTGGACTGACTGAAACCAACAAACGAACAGGCTAAATCCTCTAGGCTTGCATGGGTCTGCCGGGTCACAATTCCTCTGGAATCGTTTTAGGTGTGAGTTTTTTTCCCCTACCCTCTTCTTTTGATCGGTAGTTTCTTAATTTCCTTTTTGTAAACATAAAATACAAATATAAATACGGTATTATGGATCTTTGATCCATGGATCTAAGAAATAATGATTTCCACCATCAATTTATTGATATAATTTTGATTACAAACAAAATTTATTCTCATTAAAATCAGGCACAGGTCGAACTAATCAAACCGTTAATTAAAATCTTAAGCAGTTTGTTCACTAATCCAGTCTAAATAAATCTATCTCTACAATTCCCGACGAAGTCTGCTATGTAAAAAATTGAGAGGGGTCTCTCGTCATAATCATCGGCGAACAAACCAATCCTTGAGTCATCAACAACTAACTTCTTATCGACTTTAATTAGATATTAGAATTACATATTTTATGAGTTCTCAAAAAAGCCACAGAGCTCTCAATATTTAACTATAGCAACACTAGATAGTATTAAAATTAAAGTTGTTCTATATTTAAGTTTAAATATTGTTACTTTTATGGTTTGCGACAAAAAAGTTGTAAATGTGGTATTTTAAATTGACACAGGCTTAATAGAACATTATTATATTATTGCAAACATGAACTTATATTATAGATGTCGGTCATTATAAAATAAATTATGGACTTGAAATTTATAAAAAAATGATAAATCATAAATAGATATGTATTATTTTTGTCATTGTTTTTTATTGACATCTGCTAGGTTTTTCTTCTGTCGCCACGTACGCACAAATTTGCTAGTCATTACTGATTAGCTGGTTCGATATCTGGTCCGAATTGTCAGGGTTGCGAGGCATATTCGCTTTCCCTCGGGAGACGAGACAGACGCAAACGGCTGCAAACCACCCTTCTCAAGTTTCAATTCAACACTGAGTCAAAAAAAAAAGTTTCAATTCAACACCGCCGTCAGTCCGTCACCGCAGCACAGCACAGCGCCTCGCCACCTCCTTGCTCGCTTCGCTTGCTTTGCGCTTGCGCCTGCCCCCTTTCCCCGCCGTCGCCGCCGCCGGAGCCATGTCCGGCGCGGCAGTCCAGGCGGTGGAGCCCCGCCCAGCGGCAGCCGCGACGACCACCGCGGCGGCGTCTCCGGCCGCCACGACGGCTCAGCCCGCGGCGGCGGCAGCGAGGGGAGCGATAGGGTGCGGCGGCCCAGCGCACGCGTTGGGGCCGGCGGCGGCGACGATGGAGCATGTGCTGCTGGCGCTGCGGGAGACGGAGGCGGAGCGGGAGGCGCGGATCCGCGGCGTCTTCGGCTTCTTCGACGCGGCGGGGCGGGGCCACCTCGACCACGCGCAGATCGTGGCCGGCCTCGTCGCGCTGCGCGTCCCCGAGGGGACGACCGGCGGCGCGGGCGCCGAGGACTACGCGCGCGCGCTGCTCCGGGCCTGCGACCGCGACCGCGACGGCCGCGTCGGCTACGACGACTTCCGGAGGTACATGGACGACAAGGAGCTCGAGCTCTACCGCATCTTCCAGGCCATCGACGTCGAGCACAACGGATGTATCCTGCCCGAGGAGCTCTGGCACGCGCTCGTCAAGGCTGGTAACTGCAATGCCAACGCTCCTCGCCTTATTCCTTCATTTGTTTTTGCGAGTACCTTATTCCTTCCTTTTAGTGATTCCTCTATTCCACCACCATAGCTCGATTCTGTGATGGTGTCGAATACTCGAATGAGGTTGAGTGAGAGAGTGTGAGACTCTGTGAATAAAATAGTGTTTTCCTGAGCTACAAATTTAAGTGTTCCTTGTGATGGTTCTAGACTTCTAGTGATGCCATAGGGACATGGGCTCCTTAAAATAGGTAACTAAGATAGAGGCCCTTTCATAATTTGGGTATCCTTTTTTTCTCTCCAAATTTGGTGATTAGGATGCAACACAAAGTATTGATGGAGACATACTGCATGGGATAGTTTCTTTTTGTGGTAAAATAAGTCATTCATTCGTGCCAATCCTCAACTCTGGCTGTAAGTATCAGAGTGGCAAAGTTTGGGGTTTCCTAATATTGAAATTCTTTACCACGTTTCCTAATGTCAGCTTTGAGAAAGTCCTTTTTTGACATGAGAATTGTAGATGACAACTATGATAAATTGAGTTCAGTTCTATTTGTTGCTACTTGAGCTTTATTGTTTCCCTTGGAAATTGAAACTATAAGGCAATGAATACTTCATGAGTTGAGTTAGAGAGTTGGAGTAAGTATTGATGGTGGTGGTTATGATGCTCAGATTTTTTTTTTTCACCAGGGAGGTTTATGGCTTGGATAAGTTTAGGCAGTCCCCATGTGGAAATTCTACGACTGGTTGTTGCTGACAGCTGTGAGAAGATTAGTCCCGTTGAGTGACCTGGTAAATGTAGCTGAAAGTCTGAAACCTTGAGGGGGAGGTTGAGGGCATACAATATGGTTGATTGGAAGGTATCTGAATGTTCATGTGCTGTGTGCCATTCAAATCAGTTGCAGGACAGCCCTGAGCCAATGCCAGCAGTTTATGGACTAGTACTTGGAATGCCCATCATAACATGCAATGCTTCCATTTTAGCATTGCAATGTGCTTCACCATTTCAAAATTTTAATCAGTTTCGATATCTTAATAACTGATATCTTAATAACTGTCTAAGTCACCATTCTGAAAATAGGAAGTAGTTCCTTGTATGTGAAGTTTTTTTTAGCTTTGAATAACGCAGTGCGGTGTATCTGTCGAAACTGGTAGTAATTGTAAATAGCTATGTTCCGAAGAGCTGGCTGATAAATCTAGTCTTTGTGATATGTCTTACAAGTATACCAGTTTACTGTTTGCAGGTATAGAAATTGATGATGAAGAGCTTGCAAGATTTGTTGAGCATGTGGATAAGGACAACGATGGTATTATTACTTTTGAGGAATGGAGAGATTTTCTTTTGCTTTATCCTCATGAAGCAACCATTGAAAACATATATCATCACTGGGAAAGAGTCTGCCTTGTAGATATTGGTGAGCAGGCCGCTATACCGGAAGGAATAAGTAAACATGTAGGTGCAAGCAAATATCTGATTGCAGGAGGCATTGCTGGTGCAGCATCTCGTACTGCAACTGCACCTCTTGATCGCCTCAAAGTAAATATGCAAGTGCAAACGAACCGTACTACAGTTCTAGATGCGGTTAAGGGGATATGGAGAGAAGGTGGTCTACTGGGATTTTTTAGAGGGAATGGACTGAATGTGGTAAAAGTTGCTCCAGAAAGTGCTATAAGATTCTACACCTATGAAATGCTTAAAGAATACATAATGAAAAGTAAAGGAGAAAATAAGAGTGACATTGGTACTTCTGGGCGTCTCATGGCGGGGGGTTTGGCTGGTGCTATCGCACAGACAGTGATTTATCCCATTGATTTGGTGAAGACTCGTCTGCAGACTTATGAGGGAGGCAGAATTCCTAGCCTTGGCGCACTATCAAGGGATATATGGATACATGAAGGTCCCCGAGCGTTCTACAGAGGCCTTGTTCCATCATTGCTTGGCATGGTCCCGTATGCTGGAATTGATCTTACTGTTTATGAAACACTGAAAGAAATGTCCAAGACATATGTCCTCAAGGACAATGGTACACTTCTACCAGGATCTGTTTGTACTTCCACCCTTCTCATCCGGTGTTACTAAGTTATGATTTTCTGATGTAGATCCTGGCCCTTTGGTACAGTTGGGCTGTGGAACAGTCTCTGGAGCGCTAGGAGCCACATGTGTATATCCTTTACAAGTCATCAGAACAAGGTAAGCGGTAGATTTCATTGATAGCAATGTAGGCTTGTACAACCATGAAGGTCTGTCCTTCACACATGCTCATATGCTCCTTTTCATTAATGTTATTTGCAGAATGCAAGCTCAGCCAGCCAATTCAGAGGATCCATATAGAGGGATGACTGATTGTTTTCGGAGAACTCTGCGGCATGAGGGAGTTTCTGGATTTTACAAAGGGCTTGTACCAAATCTTCTTAAAGTGGTGCCAGCTGCAAGTATTACCTATCTTGTTTATGAGACAATGAAGAAAAGTCTCTCCCTAGATTAAGTGACTTTGTAGATTCTGCATATCAGCGGCTGACTGTATAGATAGTGTTGAGGCATGATCTTCCTCGTTGAGTAGGTGCTAACTTAATGACCCTGGAGTGTGAGATAGTATTTTGGCCTCAGGATACAGTTAATGCAGGGCATTCTCATTCTTATTGGCAGAAATAAAAATGTGATACCTGTCAAACCATCAAGGGCCCATATTGGAATGCAGGTAGTTGGCCTTCTTTGTAAGCCTCTACTACTGCTATTTCTATATATACTTCTTTTGCAGATTTTGGCAATATTCTGTATTTTCAGTTTGCACTTAAGAACTCCTTATCAACCGCAGGAGTTCGGATTAGGGGATTGCACTAGGATTTTTGGAATTTATTCAATGTTGATTTAAGCTATGATGATTATGATCCAATCATATAGATGGAAGGATGCACTACAACTAGATTGCATCATACCTTAGCTGTGACTAGCTAATCCATCAGGGAAGTTGTTGAATTCTTCTGATTGACAGATCTCATAACGAACCAAGAATATTTCGTCAAAGATAAGTTCTTGGCAAGTTGCATGGTAATATGGTATCTTCATTGGGACTGCTAGAAACTGTTCGTGTTTTGAAGTATATTAAACAGTGAAAGTTTGAGATTCTCCTAGCAGCTTAATTTGATCGAATTAACTGACCTCAGTGCCATATGGTTTGCGCTATCTACTAGGTGTTTGTTCTGAAACTTGCCTGTTTCTTGTGCCTTGGTAATTAATGTTCATGTCAGCATTACTTGATTAGCACCGTGTATTATGATGGAAATAAAGTCGAATAGGTTGCCTGTTCATTATTTGGCTAGGTAAGGCTAGTTCTTGCTAGGAATGTAGCAGGAAGCTGATTTCATAAAATCACTAAACTCTTCAGCTTGAATTCACTTTTATTTCAGAAGGAACTGCCATCGTATTCATGTGTAACCATTTTTTTTCCTTGCTCCCTTTCTTTGGCTGTGAGAGGCACCTGATTCCTAGATTTTTTTTTCAGTTGAAAATTAACATACACGTATGTATCGTACTGATTCAACCATTTCAATATTTGTCTTTCATGATTCCATTTTTTTTCTATGTGCACTGAATTTTCCCTTCTCTCATCATGGATTTCAAGGTGGAATAAGATGCTAGGGATATGTTTTCTAGTTTAAAGTTGTTTAATTTAATGTATTGGAAAATGTAACTCATTATGGCCCCGTTCGCTTCGCTGAAAAAACAAGCCGAAATACTGTTCCGGCTGATTTGTTGTGAAAGAAAAACACTATTCCGGCTGAAAAAACAAGCTGAAAAAGACGGATTATAAAAGAAGCGAACATGGTCTATATGCTATAAATGACAGAACACTAACATAAAACATACAAGGGATAATTGGGTATGTACCACCCAAAACATTGCAGCATAATATGGATTCAAGTTGGTTTTATCTTTCTGTTTTGACCCTGATTTCCTCTCATCGGGTCTATAACTCTATATGTTTCAGTGTACAGGGCATCTCCTGCACCCTGCACCTAGTAAGGTGCTTGAGACGATTTTGTTGACACAACTTGCAACCGTTACAGTGGTGTGTTGTTCGACATACTCTAACTGCTTGTGCTTCTGAGATTTTGTCTTTATATTGAGCTCGCTCTTGCCCTGCATAAAAGTGTGCTGCCCGCCTGCTACCATATATATACGTATGTATTTGTTTACCATATATACCAAGTGTCGTCATGATCGACCTGTATTGCATAAGTGCGCAGCTCACAAATATGGTACCTGACTTGTTCGAGAGATGTATTAAGCCCTTTTAGTTTCAACCCCAAAATTTTACATCCTATCACATTGAATGCGTTGGACACATACATAGAATATTAAATATATACTAAAAAATAACTAATTATATAGTTTGCGACTAATTTACGAGACGAATTTTTTAAGCTTAATTAGTCCATAATTTGACAATAAAGTGCTACAGTAACCATGTGGTAGTGATAGATTAATTAGGCTTAATAAATTCGTCTTGTGGTTCACTGGCGGATTCTGTAATTTATTTTTTATTAGTATTCGAATACCCCATACGAAACCTCATGTAACATATGATGTGATATCCTAAATTTTTACGCGCGGGATCTAAATAAGGCCTAAGAGACAGTAAACTGATGCCTGTTCATAAGCCAACGCAATCCCAGCTACAGATTTCGTGGAGCGCGACTGGAGTGATGGTGCATTGCTGGACAGACCCGATGAGAGGAAAAAAAGGTTTGTGTATTCCTGGAGATCGCTGCAACTACAGCTGCAGCTTTTTTGGCTTTTGCTACAGTAAATTGTGAGACGACATTTTTGCAGCCGCAGCGCAGCACCGCCGAGCAGTACGGCAGATTCCAGATTGGTCCTGAAATCGTTGAGAGCGTGTAGGACTATGAAATTCTCGTATGCTCAGGGAGTCAGGGAACGTAGTCTGTGATCTAGAGTACTAGTACACAGGAGATCCACGAGGTTTGTTAATATGTGTAATTGCGCCGTTTATGTAAAGCAAAAGTGTTCAGATAGGTTCCGGTCTGTTCTGCTATGCTCTGCTTTAGGGTTCACACGAAGTTTCGTTAGTTCAAAAGACCGAACTGGAGAGATCCAGAGATATAGTGCGAGGAAAGCAGGAGGCAACTGACAAACTTCGTGGATGCCTTTTTTTCCATGTAATGTTCTAGTCTTCTAGAAGCTCGGAAGGAGCTGAAACCAGAACGCCTGAAAGGGAACAGACCGACGTGGGCATGCCTTGCCCACGATGGTGCTTTGGCAGTGGCACCCACCCTAACAAGAAGGGCCCGGTTCATGCACCGTCATTTGTACACAGTGCACACGTGCCTTTGTTGGTCTCCCCTGCAGGACGGGCGGCACGCCTCGACTCTGGCCAGGATTCAGATATGACGATCTATATTTGGTTGATTTCAATAGTAGTAAAGGTTAATTGTCAATATGTTTACTCACTAAGTCTAGTATAGATTGGTTATGGCATAGAAAGTTTGGTCATGTTGGAATAAAATAATTGAATAAATTGATTAAGCATGATCTAGTTAGGGGCTCGAAAGATGTCACATTTGAGAAGGATAAGCTATACAGTGCATGTCAAGCCGGAAAGCAGATTAGTAACACACATCTAAGAAGAGCATGGTAAGCACATCTAAGGCATTTGAGTTTTTGCATATGGATTTGTTTGGGCCAACTACATATACAAGTATTGGTGGCAACAAGTATGGATTTGTGATTGTGGATGATTTCACTAGATATACATGGGTGACGTGTTTGCAGCCTTTAAGATATTCATCAAGAGAATTCACAATGAGTTTCATCAAGAAAGTGAGAAGTGACGATGGAAGTGAATTCAAGAACACAAAAGTTGATGATTTGTGTGATGAGTTTGAAATTAGACATCAATTTTTGGTCAAGTACACTACACAATCAAATGGCCTAGCTGAGAGGAAGAATAGAACCTTGATTGATATGGCAAGATCAATGTTGAGTGAGTAAAATGTGAGTCATACATTTTGGGCCGAAGCAATCAACACGGCTGGCTACTATAGCAACCGCCTCTATTGTCATCCCATGATGGAGAAGAAATCATATGAGCTCTTGAATAGAAGAAAGCCCAATATTGCATACTTTCGGGTTTTTTGTTGCAAAAGCTACATATTGAAGAAATGCACTAGATTGAACAAGTTTGAGAAGAAATACGATGAATGTTTCTTGCTTGGTTACTCCACTACTAGCAAGGCTTATAGAGTTTGGAATTTGGCTAGTGGTACTCTTGAGTAGGTTCATGATATAAAATTTGATGAAACCAATGGTTTCCAAGAGAAAGATAAGAATCTAGATGATGTGAGAGACACATAATTGGCCAATGCAACGAAGAAGATGGATGTTGATGACATAAGGTCTAAAGAAGTGATTGAAGTTAAAGATGACAAGAATCAAGTGCTCTCTAACTCAAATATGCAAGCTAGTGATTCTCATGATCAAAATCAAGCTAGTTCATCATCTCAAGTGCAAGATCAACAAGTGGCTAGTACATCATCTCAACCAAATGACCAACCAAGTACAAGCAATCAAGTTCAAGTCCTCTAACCAACCAATGTTACAAGAGATCATCCATTGGATTCTATCATTGGTGATATCTCAAGAGGTGTACAAACAAGATCAAGATTGGCATCATTTTGTGAACACTTCTCATTTGTGTCATCCCTTGAACCAAAGAAGATAGATGAAGCTTTGAAGGATGTTGATTGGGTAAATGCTATGCATGAAGAACTAAACAACTTCACAAGAAATCAAGTATGGGAGTTAGTTGAGAGGCCTAAGGACTATAATGTGATTGGAACCAAGTGGGTCTTTCGGAACAAGTAAGATCAAGATGGGATAGTTGTAAGGAACAAAGCAACATTAGTAGCTCAAGGTTACACTCAAGTTGAAGGTATTGACTTTGGAGAAACATATGCCCTAGTTGCAAGATTGGAAACAATTAAGACCTTGTTAGCCTATGCTTGTGTCCACAACATCAAGTTGTACCAAATAGATGTGAAAAGTACATTTCTCAATGGGTACATCAATGAGCTTGTGTATGTTGCGCAACTTTCTGGTTTTAAAGATGAGAAGAAACGCAACCATGTCTATAAGTTGAGAAAGACTTTGTATGGATTGAAACAAGCACCAAGAGCATGGTATGAGAGATTGAGGGATTTTCTACCCTCTAAGGGATTTAAGATGGGAAAGGTGGACACCACTCTCTTCACCAAGAAGTTAGGCAATGACTTGTTTGTGTTGCAAATCTATGTTGATGATATCATATTTGAATCAACCAGTTAAGATCTTTGTGAGGTGTTTGAAAAGATGATGGTAAGTGAGTTTGAGATATTTATGATTGGAGAGCTTAATTACTTCCTTGTCTTCAAATCAAGCAAATGAAGAATGACACATTTGTGAGTCAAGGCAAGCACATCAAAGACA